ATAGTATTTTTATTCTGACTTGAAACACTGCATTATACGAGGATATTTCAACATCACATCGCTCTCTTATCTTAATTTCATAGAAAATCTATTGTAAAGTTTTCCTGTACAAAATATAAGCAGCGACGAAATATCGCGACAGTAGCCCAAAATAATAATTTAGGTCGGCACGCGCCTATAGATTGAATTATTGGGGTGGGCTACTTACTTTTCTTCTTTTCGGTGCCTGGCTGACTAGACTATATACGCGTTATCTATAACTAGTAACTAGTGTCATCCCAATTTATATGTATATTATTTGCTGTTTTATTCCACGTATTATTTAGTTGTGTTTTTTAACATTGATTATCACCATTTAACGAAATGGAAATTATGTGACGCCCATGTCCTTTATTTGTTTGATGTATGCCGACTAGATGTTTTTTTAGTGTTTCAGTTCAGATTATAAATACTATACCTACCTACGTTAGCGTAGAATAGGGATAATTCCAATTTCATTCATGTGTTGAATATAACAATTAATTGAACGAGTGGTAGAGTGGTAGATCCTGACTTAGACCAATCACATTTGAAATTACGGGATTTTGGCATTCACTCGTTCTCTTTTTTAACTTAAGTGCATTTGTATTTACAAGTTTTCCAAAAATTATCGATAATATTCAATTAGCTTTTTATGTTACTACTTACTGATGATATGAGAACCCGATGAACTAGACTTTTCATAAATATAGAACACAAAGTTCCAGAAACAAGGAAAATTGACTGTCATGCAGTCTAGGCATCGCACGTAGTGTTTTAATTCATACCAGGGGTTGTCAGTTGGCAGCGGGAATGAGAAGGGAGCCACGCAACTTCTGCCGCCAGACCGCGCTTTGTTGTGTTTAAACGGCTCTATTGAGTTTATTACTGAAAATAAGTCGGTATATAATCGAGACGAGAGAAAGCCAATTAAATTTGCCAGTTTTTGAGCAAAAAACTAATTGAATACTCCAATATATGAAGGAGTTATCGCAGGTTAAAGCAAACATATATTTTATCCAATCGCGCCGTGTCTACGATATAACTGATTTTTTGAGCTCTACTTTGATATGTTTCGAATAAAATATACACCATATTGAAGAGAATATTTTTGTCTAGAATCTAAAAGAAAAATCATTCTATTACCTTAAGCGGTTTAGAAGTTTTACGAGGTTTAAGTTGTAAATTTTAGTTTCCGTATATTTTTAGTTTTTTGCTCCTAACTTGGCTCTCGACCAATGAAAAAAGTCGTCCATTTCGATTTCATATGCAGAAAAATATGCTGAATCATCTGATACTAGTCTCAATAAATTATACTTCAATACCGGGTTTTTGAACGCAAACGCTTCTCCGCCGACGGCCTAGATGTTTCGTACCTTGGCCGGAGTTCACATATGGCAAGGTTGCCGATGTGAGATTTTGGTAGTTTAAAAAATCTATTGTTTTTATTGCCGTAACATAAGGCTTTAAAATTGTTAGGATTTATTAAGCGCAATACCAAAGATTTTTATAATATAAACGCTTTAGTTACTTTATATACATCGCTAGTAAGATCGCAACTTGAAAGTTGCACGGTTGTGTGGTCTCCATTCTTCCAGGTTCACATTAACCAAATAGAATCAGTTCAAAGAAATTTTTTATGTTATATTGCTTACAAATTAAATATCCCTAGAGATAATATTGTTTATAGTGACTTGGAAATTTTACTTAAATTACAAACATTGGATAAAAGAAGGTGGAATGCAGACATTATGACCCTATAGGGTTGTTCATGGTTCTATTGATTGCTCGCATATTTTGGCGAAACTTAATTTTCATGTGCCTCCTAGGACTTTGCGTGGACACAAAACTTTTGAAGTCAATCAACATCGTACTCGTTATGGCCAAAATGCGGCAATTGATAGATTGATGAAAAATTTTAATGAATTGCAAATGGAGTTACAAGTTAACTTATTTAATATATCCGAAATGAAACTAAAGAATTGTCTGAAACAACTGTGATATTATAGGTAGATTTTCAAAAAAAGCAAGGAAAAAATGTAAAGTTGGAAATCTTAAATTTGGAAGTTGTATAGGTCTTTTTTATATTTTATATTTAATACTTTATATTTTATATTTTGTTGGCAGATGTGATAGTCCAATTTGTAGATGTTTCATGTAGTAGGTATATTAAATTGTTTAATTGTTAGAATCAGCTTTAAAGCTGTAAAGTTGTAAAATGGTTTGCCGTTAATAAATAAATAAATAAATAAATACACCATCAACATCAGGCGTACCGTCAACACCAAAACCTAGGCAAAGTGATCTCAACATGAATACCTACCGGTAAATACTACCTATGTTCTTTTACCTTAAAAAAATATTTTAATTACGCTTTTTTCTCTTTAGATTCGCTCAAATCTCAAAGAATCACACCAGAATCAGTAAGACCATTTCCCAGACCAAAAGTAAATAAAAATCAAGACAATAAAAAATCGAAACGTGGGAAGTCAAGAATTTACACAGACACGCCTGAAAAGAATCGATTAGAGGAATTAAAGGATGAAAAAATAAAAATAAAAACCAAACAAGAAGAAAGAAAACGGAAAATGGTTACCAAACAAGTTTTTTTCGGACGATCGGCAGTTGAAAACAATAAAAAACTGAAGCAGATTAAGAAACGAAGACTTGAGCCTAAGCCTAGCTCCAGTAGTTCCGATTCAGAAGAATCAGTTCCATTAGAATCCGATGGTCTAAGTGATGACTTCAGCGAAGAGGAGAATTTTGTGGGTCTATTACAAGACGAGAAGGAAATAACAGCAGGCGATTTTCTACTGGTAAAATTTCCGATGAAATCGTACATTAGATATTACGTTGGAAAAGTGTTGAAAAAAATAAATTTGAATGAATACCAGATGCAATATTTAGGCCGAAAGCCACCATCCTTTACATTTTTTTACCCATCAGTCGACGATATATCAACTGTAGACAGAACTAACATAGTTTCTAAATTGCCGCCACCTAACACAGCTAAAACTGCTCGGACGTCCTCTTTGCTTTCATTCAATGTGAATTTCGAAACCTACAACATGTGCTAACTGCTAAAATATTTGTAGGGGAGACAGGGGCTGGTTGGCGCATTGCCATTTTGCCTACTTTATAATAAATATTTGGCAACGCTGTTTGTTTTTGGAGGTTGACCTTATGCAACCAACTTCACACACGATCAGTCAAGTCGATATCTGCCATCGTTTGGGTGCAGTCCTAAAAATCAGATTTTTTTAACAACTGAGTAACTTTTATAACGTTTGGAAAATTCTTTTTAAGTCACAGGTAATTATTACGACATAAATCGTGAATATAGCCACTTAAACTGCGATTAAAGCAGAATGATTTTACCTATTTGCAATTACAAAATATTTTGGGGTTATGTATTTTTCGCGGGAAATACAAGCTGGCGTGGGTTGGGGCAGGTTGTCTCAAAACAAACGGGTTATGTTGGCGCAGCGCCAACTTGCCCCGTTGCCAGATTGTAATGGTGAAAATAATCAAGAATCTGATTTATTTTAGTTTTGCAATAAGAACCTACCAAAGAAAAACGGAGCGTGCAAACTATACCAAAGACACTTTGATAAGGGCAGCGAAAGAGGTACCTAATAAAAGCGTTAATATAATAGCTATGAATATTGGGAAAATATTTTTTTCTTTTAGGTTTTGATCAATGGACGTTCCAGGAGAAGCGTCGCACAAGATTTCCTTCTAGAACGCTCATTCGGTTCTGCTCAAAAACAAATGCCGCCGAACTACAAGATACGAACGGTCACCAGTTCCAAGTTGGCTATATCCAAAATCGAAAAGTATTTACAACTGAGCAAGAGAAAATCCTAGAAAAAAAAATCTTCAGATATTTATCATGGCTTATCGGTTAAAGAAGTGAAAAAGCTAGCCTACGAATATGCAAAAAGATTGGGTGTTAAATATCCACTTTCCTGGGATCAAAATAAAATGGCTGGACCTGATTGGTTCTCTTATTATCTGGAAAGAAACTCTAGATTATCAATTCGATGTCCAGAAGCTACAAGCATTCCGCGGTGTGTCATAAATAACTATTATGTATCTAGCGTACTAAGTAGATGATTATGCCCTGAGGGCGACAGTCTTACAAAGCCGAGGGCCTCTGGCCCGAGGGTTCGTAAGTCGCCCGAGGGTATATATATCTATTAGTACCCGTGGTGCATACAAACTTTTATGTCATACCAGTTGGTTGTGAAATACCTGGGAAAAAAGTGTCACTTCGCAAATTGTCATCAGGGTGCAAACATCATAATTTTTTGACAAAAATAATATGTTTATCAGCGTAAATTTATATTTTGTTAATAAAGAATAAGTTAATTGAAAACTGTTTTTTGCGTCTTTATGCCCGCGCGAGTCATAATGTGTACTTTATGCCCGCACGGGCATAAAGTAATGAATTATGTAGGTGGTATAAAAACACAATAATGTATTGGTATGACATAAAAAAATTTAAAGTAAAAAGTGCGCCAACTAGCCCCGGTCTCCCCTATTTTGTGAATATTCCCTTTTTTTGAATAATGTTTCATTTATTGAAGAATTTTTAATAAAATAGTGTCCTTTTCTCGACATAAGCGATTTATTTATGATGAGAACCCATCAATTACATCATTGGTTTAATGTGCCCCACCGGAGGGGCAGATTCAACCATTTGGTAAGGGTTTTCAAAATTAAATTTTTGGAGATATTTTTTATTTTATTAGGATATTTTAGGAGAAAAAATTTCAAAGTATATCTTAAAAATACTTTGGTTTATTTGCTTTAGTATGAAAGCTTCGTTATTGTAGATTTTAAGAAAAATGGTTGAATCTGCCCCCCTCCCCATATTGCTATTCATAAATATTTTTGAAAACATGCTTGCCGATTTTTCGAAACTGTGTATTTATTTACCTATTTCAATTTAATTAAATCTGAAAAACAAATAAATACAGGTAAGCTCATGGAATAGAGAACAGGTAATACAATGAACAAATAATTGATTTTCTTTATCCACAACGATGTTAAATATTTAATGAACAAACAATAGAAAAAATCGTTGTTTTTTAATATTTTTATTATGTCCCTAAAAAATCGTAAACAAAAAATACCCAGTCAGTGCCCTACCACAAAATATTTTTCATAGCTGATAATACATAATGTATTTTGCCATTTTTGAAAATATAAGTACTTGCCACCCTTTTTATTCAGCACTCAAATTTATACTTACCGTCTCATTACCATTTGATTTCCAGTATGATCCATTGGTTTATATTTTCTACAGTAATAATTAGTGCAAATGCATTTTATGATCCCAATGGACCCGTAGTTTATACGAAAAATGGGCCAGTTAGAGGCATCAAAAGTCAATCCAGATCCAACAAGCCATATGATTCCTTTTTAGGAATTCCCTATGCTAAGCCACCTGTTGGAAATTTAAGATTTGCTGTAAGTACAAAAATATGCCGTTCGTTTTATTGAGGAAAACCACCTATTTAAAATATTATTTCTTCAAATTTTAACTTTTAAAAATCGGTTACTGAATAAAAGTAAATGTTGCAACCATGTATGTGCTCTCAAGTTTAGGATTGAACGAGCGCGCCACAGAAAAACGAAGGTACCGAAACCGAACGGGAGCTAGAGAAGAGGCGATTAGGCATTAGAGAGACTTGAGAATAAGCTGGGGCTGTTGCTTTAGACGCGTCTGTAATTATTCATTATTCAATTTTCATTTCTATTTTGCATTAAAATTGATTGTTAAATCCAATTTGTTATTAGTGTGTGTGTAAGGAGCGTTCACAGGTTAGTGGATTAAATGTTATTTTGTTTTTGAGAGTTCAATTTATCCAAGTTCCTATTATTTTGTTCATTTTTATGTTTTTTTTGTTTGTTTATAACATTTTTTATAACATGTGCATTGTTCATGTATTTAACAAAAATCGTTTCATGCTGTAAACAACAAGGATAAAGAAGTAAATTAAAACCTAAGAAATTATGTGCTGTCTTTTTGTGCTGAGATGTTGAATTTACTTACATTTTCCTACCCTGACGAGAGAATATGTTACGTGTCGAATTTGTAGTCAATCAAGTTACGACATTTTTTTGCTGCCTTTGGTCTTTTACTACTCTGTCATTGCCTGATTTTGCCTAGCACTGAAAAAAGGGAACTACTAGTATATAATCTTTAATATATATTTCACATAACAGTCACAATAATTATTCTCCATGAAGATATCCACAGCTTCTGGCGATCTCTGAAAATAAGATTGATTTGAGATAAGATAATATCGTATAGAGCAAAATAATTACCATCTTTTTGAGTTTCCACTATTTTGTTCTCTGCTCTGTGTTCTGTTCTAGGAATCAGGTAAATCAGCATTTGTTTTCCATATTTTTGTAGTGGTTTACATTGTGCAACTTTGAGAACATCAGATTTCCAGCCTATAATAATAAGAAAATTTAGATAGGATTCGAATAGGAAAAGTAAACAAATGCTGATTTACCTGATTCCTAGAACAGAACACAGAACAGAGAACAAAATAGTGAAAACTCAAAAAGATGGTAATTATTTTGCTTTATACGATATTATCTTATCTTGAATCAATTTTATTTTCAGAGATCGCCAGAAACTGTGGATATCTTCATGGAGAATAATTATTGTGACTGTTATGTGAAATATATATTAAAGATTTTATACTAGTAGTTCCCTTTTTTCAGTGCTAGGCAAAATCAGGCAATGACAGAGTAGTAAAATACCAAAGGCAGCAAAAATATGTCGTAACAAATTGAAATAATCAATCTAGAGATATTGGCTCAAAAACAACTATAGCTGAGTAGCTTCCCGTATGGGACCTCAGTATCCGCTGGGAAACTGGCTAACTAACAAAAAAACTCTTCAGTACTGAATATAGGTAGTGTTGATTGAATGTGTTGAGTGTTTAATTAAAATTTTAGCACAAGAACAGGGGCGGTACCTAATTTAAACTTTTATTGACTTAAATTATTGAATTATTGACTTAAAATTATTATTAAATTGACACAGTATGTTTCGATTTTAAAGGAATGTTAGATCGAGGGTTTCTCTGCCGTTCCCTTTTCCCTCGAGAATTCCAGGTCGAGAACGGTACGATTTACTTTAATAATAACAAATATCACAAATTTTTCGTTTCTTTTACATATCACAACTTCCCTTAAATTTTCCAAATATTTGCTATGTCGGGCGCATGTCCAGTAAGTAAAATTGAGTAACTTTCCACAACGTAGGTCCTATTTGTTTTTCACTCCGTTTTTCAAAATATTTGTTGTTTAAAAGGTAATAAAAATTCTCATCATTCAATCTTACTGAACGAACCTCGGTTATACCTACTACATTATTTTACTCTTTCTCTAGAATCCCGAACATCCTGAACCCTGGAAGGATGTTTACAACGCCACAAAATATGGTCCAAGATGCATGCAAAGAAATCCATTCTTATCAATTGAAACTGTATATGAAGGTGATGAGGATTGTCTTTATTTGAATGTATATGTTCCCGAAGTAAGTAATGTAATTGAGCAAGAAAGACAATTTTATAATAAATTTCATCAGATTCCCAAAAGCGAAAAGCTTCCAGTAATATTTTCCATTCATTGGGGTGGGTTAACATCTGGAAACGGAGATGGTGGCTACTATAATCCAAAGTATTTCATGGATTTTGAGGTTATATTGGTTATTATCAATTACAGAGTAGGAATTTTAGGTAACAGCCATCTTTAAAATTTTTGCATAAACTAAAATTGTCAATTTTATAGGGTTCCTATCTACATTGGATGATGCAGCTCCTGGCAATTTCGGCCTAAAAGATCAAGTTATGGCACTGGAATGGGTCCAGGATAATATCTGCCATTTTGGAGGTGATGCTAAGAATGTGACAATCATGGGTGCGAGTGCTGGAGCAGGATCTGTTCATTTGCATATGGTCAGTCCCAGATCCGAAGGTAAACTTTTCTCTCTATTTCGTAAATACTCTACCTATAAGCAAACATTGTAGGTTTGTTTGGACGAGCAATTTCCCAAAGTGGTGCTGGAATAGCATTATGGATGTCTTCAACCAATCAAGCTCAGCTTACAGCAGCCTATACCCAAGCGGAATTCGTGAATTGTTCCTCATGGATAGGAAACCATACAGAATTAGTTAATTGTTTTAGAAATGTACCTGCTATGGAGCTTTTACACTCACAAGAAAATTTTGTGGTATGAAAACTCCCGAATGTATTTGCTCATATTATTTTTCACTACTATTTCAGTTCTTTGCCATGTTTCCTTTCACAGTTTGGTTGCCGGTAACTGAAACATTAACAGCTCAAAATCCTAAGCCATTTTTATTGAAACAGGCTAAAGAGTATTTGGAAGCTGGCGAATTTAGGAGGGTTCCATGGCTGACAGGCATGACAAAAGCCGAAGGGCTTGCAGTAGCATTACGTGAGAAAAAAATATTAATTTCAATAACTAAAACCAAATCTGAGCCCTATTTCAGCTATTTTTATACCAGATGAAAGACGTATAGCTTTGAATAACAGCTTCAACGCTGTTGTTCCAGCACTTTTGGCCTTACCTGATAGTTCTCAGTTTCCAGCTGTATCAGATTTTTACCTTAACGGTGAAAATAACGTTGATCTAAATAAGGTTGTCAATGATGCAGAATGGAGAAATGGTTTTATAAATGTAATTAAAATCAAATAGGTGAAGTTTTTTTTTTCAAATTCTCTTTATTTCGTATTTTCTAGATGTTTAGCGACAGATTTTTTGGTCAGCCTTTAAGCGAATCAATATCAATACAGCTCAAGCATGGACATAAATCATTATATTTATACAGTTTTGAATATGAAGGCAAAGACACGCATGCTAGGTTATTTTCGACACAAGATTCATTCAACTACCGTTGGGGTAAGACTAGTTTAAGTTTACTACAATGATATTGTTACTATATACCAAACCATGACGATGCTTCCAAAAAGATTCGAAACGTTTGTGTCCTCTCCTCTTACAATATTATTTTTAGGTGTAACCCACCTTGATGATGGACTTTATCAGTTCGAGGCTCCAGACTTAATTAATCCGCTTTCGCATCCTAATGATATTGCATTCAGTAGAATCTGGATTTCTTTGTGGATCAACTTTGCAGTTTGTGGGTAAGTAGATATCTACACTAGATATTGAATGTAGATATTATTAATTTAATTTAGTGAACCAAATCCAAGTCACCACAAAATCATTCCCAACATTGATTGGAACCCGTTGAGAATGGGTCCTGATGGACGGTTGCGAAATAAAGACATTTTGTTCATGAATGTTACAGGGAATTACACGTCAGGAGCAAGGTTTAAACTTACAAGAGGATTTTATGGAAAAAGAATGAGTTTTTGGGCAAATCTTAAATAAGCATGGAAGCAAATAAGTATTATTCGTGATAAAATCATTATTTTTATAAATAAATACATAAAATCCTTATGCAGCTGCATAAACATAAAAATGTGTATTTTCTCTATCTTCATGTTAACGCTTTTAATCTGTTAAAAAATATCCTTTGCTCCCGTTTAATTAGTACCGGATGGTACTCGGTACCGCACTTCTTCAGCGAATTGGGTAATTGAAGAATTGACGATCGGAATGTAGATAAAAGACTTCTTATAGCGGTACAAAAGAGGCTATTTTATTATTGTTCGGACTAAAAGGAATTTAATCCTTGTTAATTCTGCAAGGAATAATTAATTGGTTTTGGGTTCATTAGAGGATAAATTAACGTGGTTTAGGTACTAATGAATGGTTGGTGCGTATTAAATGCTACTTTGTTGGAAATGAAGATAAACGTACGTAGGTACCTATATAGATACATTCGGTACATATCCTAATGTCTGCCCAACGAGTCTGTGTCTACGGGGCAACGGTAAGGGGAATGCAGTTGTAAAAAAAAATGGCTGATTTCCTTCATAAAATACCCAGCTGCGTGCGGACATTTTTGGAAGTGTTATCTTATTGCAACTCGTACACGAAAATCGATAATGACCACACCCCCGCCACTGGATATTTCAATATAAATCGACATTTCAAGATGGGAGGATACAATGACGGGAGCCCTGGCCAATAGCGAGACGTAAGGTGACGTTAGCACATTGACAACCGCATGGTTCCCCGTGGCAACGGCAATCCTGTCAAAAACTCCACCAATCACAGTCAGGTTCATCCAGGCCGGATGCTTGCCAAATTGACAAAAGCTGATGGTATCTTTAGAAAATGTCTATTTTTTCAATAGACCAAATTGAAGAAATCAGAAATTAAAATAGGAATAGATCGAACAACAACGTTAAAATATTTAGCGTTTTATTATTGTTATCTATATTTTGTTATTAAAAAATGGATTTTCAAATGAACTATAATACTTAATGCCTAGTATTTTCGCTTTTTTATAATTAAACGTGACAACATCGCACACTTACGTCCGAATTCCTTCCGTCAAAAACATGCTCAATGGAAAAATTATAGAAAAGAAAGGAAAATTATAATAGAATAATAATGCATATTAAAAATTTATCATTCAAGCTGTTAGTACCCAAGAATCGTAAACTCTACAGAATGGCTCAATCCCATAAGACAAACGTTCATAAAAACATCGAAGATGGCGGTATGCGAATGACGTCACGCAGTCCTAGATCGGTTTGTGTTTTATTATGACAGTGCACTTTCCTTGCATTTTCAAACGTGAAAAATTAGGCAATTCAATCCATCTGTCAAAATGGAAAATTCAATGTGGCGTGGTGGCCAAGCAAGTTTGTTTTGAATATGTTTTTATGCGTATTTTAAATTAATTTGCATACAGTTTTGCTTACAACTTTGATTTTCATTATTTAATAAAATATTTGTTGACTAGGTACCTAAACTATTAATTCGGGCAGAAACTAGATATTTTTTTGTGTTTTTTGACCGATGTGTGATCGCCACGCCATCTTGAATGTCACGTGGTTTGAATTGCCTAATTGTTATTTTGAGGTTATTTCCTTTGAAAACTGTATTTTGTAATTAATTTATTAATTTTAAAATTAGCAGACTTCAAAAGTTTTTGTCCTTGAGGCTTGAGTGGTTGGCTAATTAGAAAGACGAGTTTGTTTGCTTTTGTTTATCAATTAGCCAAACATAATGCCAAAAAGTCAAAAAAACAAAGGGCTGGAGTCAAGCTGGCCCCCGGATTTGTTTCAATGTTTTTTTTGTGTATGGAAATGGGCACAAATTCGCATAAATAGTGGCACAATTGAGCACAAAACGGGCATAATTGACTACAGTTGAGAAACAGTAGAAAATCAAATGTGGGGTGCCAACTTGAGCAAGCCGGTTTAATTTTTGCATTTCAATATCAAAATATAAGCGAAACGTGGTTGCAATAGTGTATTTTATTTTTTACTGCAAAGCTGATTGATATCCCGAGCGCCTCGGATGAGCGCACGGCTACACGATGCTACAAATCGCTATGTGTCCAACGTTGGAATGCATTCGACACATCGTGTGACGCCGGCTTCACCTTGTCGTCAAACGTCATACTTCGTTGTATTTAATTTGGTTGATTTCCACATTTTTCACCGTTATTTGTTTTGTTGTTTTGGGTTGTGGCGAGTTGTAAATTTTTAAGTTATAATGGAAAAAAAGATTCGCACATCTTACTTTTGCTACTATAAACATATCATAAATTACAGATTGGTGGATTGGCCTTTGGAATTTCCTTCTTCGGTCATAATTAATAGGTATATCGTTTTATTTATATAATGCTAAGCTAACCAGAGAAAAACGTAAACACAGCTAACGGGTATTTATTAGGTACAGTTCGAGTAAACGCTCGGAGTTGCTGTTTTGTTATTTTCCCTGTTCTTCTCATCATAAGAAGAAAAGACGGAAAATGCTCCGAGCGTTCAGTGTTTCAAGACGAACTCACGGTATGATGGACGGTTACTGACAGACACTGACAGAATATACTAGATGACGTCACGACCAGTACCAGAGCGTTTTTTCCCGCTAGAAATAATTTGAATTTTTCCGAATTTTTAATTCCTTATTGTGGCCGTTTGCGACAAAAAAAATTGTTTTTTTCGCTGATATAGGTTTTAATTAATGTATTCTTATGATTTATAGTAATATTTTCATGTTTAAATTTTTTGTCAAGTTCCCTATTACTCTATATAAATTGTTAGATGGTAAATGGCGAGCGGTATATGATGGTGTTTATTTTATACTTGGAGCTTGGTATCTAAAATCTGAAGAAGAGGGGTCTATTTGCAAGAGAGAGAAACAAACTAATGAGGTGTACTAAATTATATTTTATTTTACATAAAACCCAAAAAATCAGCCAAATATCTTCCAATACTTTACATCCTTCTTTATGTCTATAAAATCAATACTTCGCACATCCGTTCTAGATTGTTATTTTACAGACCACTGAAATATCCCTACTAAATAAGAAAAGAAACGCCCTATTCATACTATTTCTCAAAAATTATAATTTAACTCATTTCACTACATCCGAATCATTCCTAATAACTATCCTTTACCTAATCAAATAATTCTTTAAAATCTCTAAGTCCTTTACTTATGAAAACCCAAGATAATTACCTATTTGTTTATCAACTAATTTGTTCTAATAAAATCTTACTATAACTACTACTTGAAAAATAAAATCCCTAATTTAATAGTTCTGCCTTTAAAATCATCAATGTCTCTTGATGAATAACAAATTTCAAATACAACTTCTCAATACGTCTAATGATAATCGTTAGAAATTTTATCTCCTGAAGGACAACAGTTCTTAAACTAACCTCTCCATTATATTGAATGATAATCGTCAACAATCTAGTTTCAAACACAAGTTTCT